TTGTAGATCTCGTCATCCTCTACAAGAAAGGTCTAATGCATTTTTTCCGTAGATTGAACGGTTTAGGAGTTATTGAGGAAAAACGAAATTTTTTGCCAAAAGTTGGCTGTTTCGACGGTAGAATGGTCGGATTTTGTCAACATCAATAAAATGCCAAATAATCATACGTAACTCGTTAAATATCGAAATTAGAAGAAAAACAACTTTTATTTGAAGCATTTTTCCTTTACCTTCCAGTTTTGGTGATGATCATCTCGGTGCCCAATTCGTTGAACTTGTCCCACAAGTCTTTCGTTTCGAGGTGGCATACTACGTGCCTTAGCTCCTCGCAGTTGGACCGTTCCTGGAGGAGAGGGTTCACAGGTGAGGCCGCTTTGCCACTGGTGCTTCCGGCGTCGTCCGTCTCCGGGTCGTCCTCCGCGACGATAGCCTCCTGGATCGAAGGGGCGCCGCGAACCACGCCAGAGACGCTCGGTTCCCTCTCTGCGAAAGACAATTAAACCCCGTTCGTCAAAACTCCAGCCGGAAAGGAAGATGCTTTCGATACAAACGATCGAGACAGCGACGTAATTGCCGTGACGACCGGAAACGAACGACGCGACGCGACGGACTGACGCTCGTTCGTCGACGAAAAACGAGACTCGGAACTTGCCCGTTCGTTGTCACGTTTCTCTCACCGACGCGTCCCTCGTCCCTTTTTTTGTCGCAACGAGTCGAAATCGTCGGGTTCAACGTGGGTAATCGTTAATAACATTAGTTGACAATCGCCTCGTTAAGAAAACGGTCTCTATCAATTCTTATTTACACTTATGTAGTACATCGTACATAAATGTGCTGATTTTACTGTCAACGCTATAAAACCATGTGGCTATTTGGAAACGTACTCATTTGTACGAAATTGTAGATCGTTCAAAGTGAGACTAAAGAAGTTTACATTATTTTCTTTCTGTATAATAGAAATTGAATTGTCGGTTTCCTATAAATGATACAAATTTTATCCTCTGGTATTTACCGTATTCATATTTTGCTTTGAATATTTCCTAACATTTTCTGTATAATACAAATCTTACAAGAAGAAACCTATTGCAGTCATCATCAATTTGGAGACTGATTTATGCGCATGCATTCGTATTTGTCATACTTGACTGAAGATTTTAATCGCATAACGACTGTTACATCATTTTAAAGCTTTACGACACGTCTCGTTCTTGAGATTTCAATGCATAAACGAATAGTAGCTACTGCTATTTATTTCCCAGCGACTAAAAAACGGACAGTACTTATTATTACATAAACGAACATTAATCGCTTCTATTAATTTTTAATTACTATAACAACTAATCGTATATTGATTATGATAAAAACTAAACTCTTTTAAATTAAATCCATCACATCTCGTTCACACGAGACCCTCTCGCTGATAAAAAAAAAAAAAAAAAGGAAAGCAAACGGATAATTAATTGGTTGCTTCGTGGTTATCGAGGCGAGAGGAAACCTCGACTTTGCGTGCGGATAATCTCGCGAGTATCTGCCGATGTGTATCGAATACGAATGGTTGCGAGGAGCGAAACTGCCAGGGAACGCACCGCGAATTTATTTTGTTCTGTGATTCGACGCTAACGAAAGAAAATTGCCGTTATCGCGGCCAGTAATTCGCGGCTAATGTCTCCCGACGCATGTAACCGTCATGAAAACGGTGCCACGTACCGCAGTCATGCGGTTACCTACACATAATAATCGACGATCATTTTAAATTGACAATTTCGTAGACACTATCACGCGACGTTTCTCGTCATTCATCGCTGCATTATCCTTCCTTTGTAAGAAAAAAAAAAGAAAGAAAGAAAGGAAATTACCAATCTGCAATATTCAGGTATTGATTAACATAATTATTGTATATATGTAAGAATGAAGTTTGACGAATTATTATCAGGATTCGTCTTGAGGAGTTGGTCGATTTAATTGTAGGAAAGAGGATAGAATCGATCAGTAGCTTAATTACTTCAAACAACAAATCTAATTACCCTCTCCGTGTAATTATTCCCCCGTACTTTACGTTTTAACAAGAGAAGACTATAATTACCACTTTTTTCTTCACAACACTATTCACGTTCGAAATATTCGTATTCAGCCGGCGTGCGCTGCTGGTATCGCGTAACAGCTGCGTGGAAACGTGGCAAAAAGAACGTACATCTGAAAGAGTTAAAACTAACGCGGCGGCAGATCGTAATCTACCACGCGTTCGCGTAATTAATCGATAGCCCACGATTTTCAAGGATCGTTTGCTCCGTGCTTTGTAAGACACCGCGCCGCCGCCGCCGCCGCCGCCGCCGCCGACGGCTGCCCCCGTCTAGCTGAGCTATCGCAATCAAAACGCGAGCTAATTCCTCCCCGTTACGTTCTCTCGTTCTGGCCTGCGAACCGGGCTCCCGCGTTCTTTTCAGCTAAGATAATAACGACGCCGTGCGGTAGCGGCTGCTAAAGGATAATTATCCATTTACAGCGCGGCGGGGCTCGCTTTAGTTTAGCGTTATTATCCGGAGCTGATGCCGGGCAAGCGGTTCGTGAAATTACGATCTTTCCGGCTCCGCCGATGCGATACGGCGAACACCCTCTTGTTTGCCGTCGCTGTTTGCGGATAGCCGCTCGCATCGGTTTTCAATTTGTCTCCTGCCTCACCGGTAACGGCAATTTCTGAAATTGGATCGCACGGTTTCATCGCGCTCGGGCGCGATGTCCAGGTTCGATCTCGAGTTCGATTGCGGTCCCGTTCGATACGACGACTCGCCGGAGAACGTTCGAAATTCGTTAGGGCGAGACAGTACATTTCTCGTCGCCCGTAAGCTAAATCGATACGCCGCCGCGGCGGTGGCGACTGGCAAACGGAATCGTCCACTTCGACACTCGAATTCTCGATTATTTCTCGAGTTTGATTTTCATTTACAGAGATTACTCATGCAAGTACGTGAAAATCATTTTCAGAATTTTTCCTCATTTCACTAACAATGAAGGGGTGAGAATGTATAAATTGTATATTTAAAAAATTTTCATCATCTATGAAAATCCACGACTAAACTTCGTTCATAAAATATTTCTATTCTATACATTTTGAATTCTACACGTGACAATTAGTAGACTGCCGATTTTTATACAAAATGAAACATTCATGGTATCAGTTAAAAATATGTATCCTAAATGGCAATCTTTTAATATTCTGCACATTTTCCAATATGGCAAACATGCTTTATATTCACTGCCGATACAATTTTTTCATGAATATACGAAATCTACTATCTAATAAATTAGTGCAGGCAAACCACGACGACGGGCTATGCTAGTAACTCATAAAACTCTGTCGAAAAACGAGTTTCAACAGATTTTCATTCGTTTATAATAAATCAGTGAAAAGAGCAAAAATAGAAATCAGTAATTCATTTTTTTAAAGGAAATTTTAATATTTAATAACGTATCGATCATATCACTGTTATTTATGTTTACTTAATTATGTCGAAAAGATTTTTATTTATTTATGAAAGATCGATAGTAATAAGAAACGTAAAAATGAAGAACAGGAATTGATTTTTTAAAGAAAATTGTGATATTCACTAACATATTGATCATACCAGTACTATTTATATTTACTTAGATTTTTTGTTTTTCAACTTGGCAGCACGAAATATTTGCCCAGAAATCCGCGATTTTACAATTGACAGAAACGGAACCGTTTCTTTCGTAGATCGGCTGCGCGATTAAGCTTCGTTGCTCCGATGCGAGAGGCAAAACCGTGGCGTGGCTGGCCCGTTACCTCCGAGTTATCGCAAATAAATTAATAACAAACGCCGACCGCGACCGTGCACGCTCCCGTGGCAGATTTCCTACGTCGATACCTTAGCAGTAGTGCGTTTAACACGGAGCACTTGAAAAAAGGAAATCTTTCGCTGTTAAACCGATTCTCTCCGCTCTTGGGTGCTTCAGTTAGTATCCTGCAGAGAGTATCATTTCCTTTTTCATATCCCTACATAACTATAATTCCTCTGTAATATTTCGTATTTCATATCGGTGCGGTTCGTTATCCCGAACCAAAGAAATGGTTGAATTTTAACAGTCGTAGTTGTCCCCCTTTCGAAAACCGGAAGCCAATTTCATTAGCTCCCATTCATAAAACATATTTAAAAAATTAAATTATGATATTTGATGAAAGATTCATAAATTATGAACGTGTGACTTTCTATTCAGATTTTCTATAAACCCATAAAATTCTTCTCCCCCCCCGCCGTTGTAAACCAAAAGCTGATATTCCGTGTCTAGCAATGACGGTTCCCAGCTTGCTAAATATGTTGATGATAAATCGCGTGGCTAAAATCGGTGCGTCGCGATGCTCGGATTTCACGTGCGCGGCAATTGAAGGCTGGCTTTGAACCGAAATTTTCGCGAGATCGTAGCGGCTAATTGGCCGGTCAGGGAGCACTCGCCGCCACGATGTGTGGTCTGTCATCCGCGTATTTTTATTCGACACGGTGAACGGCGGTGTTAAACGACTGACGAAACGGATGACGAGTCGCAAACGCGGGTGTAGGGAACGGGTTCGTTCCTCGGCGTATCCGCGCCCGCCCCGGCACGGGTTCCTCCGAGCAGCGGAGTTGGAGTTTTCCTCGGAGTTTACGAGCGGCCCCGTCAAGTGAGTTACGAGTTACGATTGCGGTCGCGAGCAGAGCAGCACACCCAGCCGTGTGCCGCTGCGTCGCGTCGGATCAAAGACGCGAACCAGGACAGATTGAAACGCACCCCGACCGCTAATGTCCGACCAGAAACGTCTTCTCTTCCTCTCTGTACGTCACGCGCCCAAGTTTCGGCGGATTCATCGCCGAGAGAGTAAAGCTCGCCGAGCCGTGGAATCGGCGAGTTTCAAATTCTCATCGCAACTTGCGAGCCCCGTTTCCGCGTCCCCGCCGGCTACCGAATGATATCACGGCTATTTTTAATCAACGATCGAACGGATAAAGTGCAGAGTTTCATCGCGATCTACCACTCCCCTTGCAATCATTTTTTGGGTACATACTGTATATTATTAAAGATAGGCAATGAAATTATGGACGATGGACAAACAACACGCACGTATCGTTACTGATAATCGATCGAATGATCCGTCGATCCGCTGTCGTCGATTTGAGATTTAATCGCAGTAACAAAAAATCCAGAATAAATATGATAATCAGTGATAATCGTTTCATAAATAAAATTTATATTAAGTGAAATTATAGCTTCTTTATTTGTATTGCAAATAACATGTGTATTGTTTCAAATGAACGACATTTTAATGAATAATAAAGAAATGTCTCTTAGGCTTTAAAACTATTTAAACACGTGACCATGAATAGAATTGATTGAATTTTAATTTAGAAGGAATTAATTAAATTGTATGAATTAGAAGTATTTAAAGTTTATGCCTGTTTAATTTTGGTAGACAATTTTTGTAAAATCTC